GGCCCTGGGCTCACAGTGTCCTTGCATCTGCATTGATGTGCTGGTTCCTTAGGCTCATAGGGTCCTCCCATTCTATCAAGGACCCATATCATTGAAGTTTGTGGTGGTGCTACTGTATGGAGGAGGGACCCTTAAGAGGTGAGGCCTAGTGGAGACCCTCAGGGTCTGGGATGTTACCCTCGGTGGTTGATGTGGAACGTCAGCCTCTTTCTTCTTAATGTCCTTCTTTCTCTCCATCCAGGGAGCAGTATTCTCCATCACCTCCCTGCCATTGCCCTCCAGCTCCTCTGGCAGAGACCTAAAAGTAATGAATCCAACCAAGCATGAAATGGAACTTCTAGAACTGAGCCCAAATATGCCTTTTCTCTATGTAAATTAATGTCTCAGGTGTTCTGTTTCAGTGATGCAAGCTGAAAACGCATTGGCAGAGCTGGGCCCTAAGCCATCCTCTTTCCTCTGGTGGTGAGCAAGGATACCTACAGCTTCCAACTTAGCTGGGGGAGATCTGCCATGGATGAGGTCAAGCTTAGGAGGAGCTAATGCTTCACACACAGTAGCAGATAAATCATGAGGTCAATGCAACTTCAGATCACCCTGAGACTCTGAGAACACATAGTTTTATTGAAGACACAGAAACCACCATGCATATGGGTAGACAGAGGACAGAGACAGTGCCTAAGCCTCCTCACCTTGACTTGGTTGATATTTACTCTCTCTAAATAGGACCATTTGCCTCTCTTACCCCTTCAGAATCCCAGTTCACGTTTTGCTGACATTCAAGTGTTGATGGATCAGGTTTTTGTCTGTAACTGTACTGAGAAGCATGTGGTCAACAGCCATAACTTCTCAGAATCAAAGGTGAATGTTCATCTTGAGTTCTGACCTTGTGTCAGACATCTGGAAACTCAGCAGGCTTCAGTAGGGGCCCTGAACTACAGCTGCTGGTCCCCCACAACCTGCATCTCCATGAGGACACTGCAGGCAGCACCTACAGGGATTTTCTGACTTTCCATGTCTGGCCTCTCCCTAGCATCCTCCTAGATCTTTTCACCACAATCCTGCCCATCATATTTCACCACTTCTCTCTGTTAATTCCTATTTGAGTCAGTCTATTTTCCTCCATATCTGCCCTCTAGGGTCCAGGTCTCACTGTCTTGTTCACATCATGGAACTCAAGCCACCAGTACATTTCCTGGGCCTCTG